TGGAAATAGTGTCTGAATCTGGACGTGTTTGTGGAGACGAGCAAAAGATTGTGATTGATCTGCTTTTCTGCATCTCTGCGTGGAACACGTCCAGATTCAGACACTTATTCCAATCCCCTTTGCCAGTGGGATCTGGCCCTTCGTCTTGGAGAAATTGGGGTCCAACAACGGCCAAAGGACAACTTTAACGCGTTGCCGCGATGTCAGGTCTGACGACACGTGGATCAGTGTGTGATTCTAGTTTCTCCCTCTTGTAGCTCCCTTGCGAGCCAAGGTCGACTTTTGGGAGGTTCGATCTCCGTACCTGTCAGATGGGATTGGGAGGGCATATACCCTGATGCGTCTATACAACAAATTGGCATGATTGCCACAGTGGACTGGCGATCTATAAACTAACTACAGAAATCCGTTGAATACGGCCCAAAATGCATCGCACACTTACAGAGCTGTGAGCGCAAAACTGTCCGCTTGCTGCTGGCTCTCTGCAAGCAGGTCATGAGAAACAGTCCTCTTTCTGGCTCTGACTCGTGTCTAGAAGAAGCACAACCACAATGGCATTTGACCTCATATGACCATGATTGCGGTCAGATACATTCGGAAGGTCTTTTTTTTCAAATGAACGTTTATCCTTCTGCGATTCTCTGCCATCCTTATTTCATCAGACAGGACGCCAGCAATGGCTGTGCTCAGGGACTCTCACTACACTATCCACCAACCACCAAAGCATTTTGGTGAGTACTCGCCGCCAGTACCGATGTCCCTCCACCGTTTATGGCCATGATTGCGGTCAGATACATTCAGAAGTCCTTTTTTCATCTGCTTTACTCCACCGTTTCTGGCCATGATTGCGGTCAGATACATTCAGAAGTCCTTTTTTCATCTGCTTTACTTCTTGTCCTTCTGTGATGCTCTGCCATTCTTACTTTTCCTGCAATGACCGTGCTCGGCGGCTCTCCCCTTACAATAAAACATTTCGGTGAGTACTTGACATGAGTAATGATGTTTCTCCACTGCTAGCTTGTCCTGGTTCCACATAGTCACAAATACTGGAGAACCCTTCGTGTCATTTACGCCATTGGGCCTCGATCCACCACTCATCCAATGCGCAAAATGAGGATGAATTTTCCACTAGAACGTGGGAAGATACACCGCCATATTTTTTGGCTTTTGTGCATGTGGCGAGTAGTGGAGCGAGGCAAATTACAAGAGTCCTTTTCCCAATAACCATCTGGCAAGAGGCCGTAAACCCAGGACCCGCACCTGCACCCAGATGGGGACAAATCCGGACAGCCAGGATCCAGACTGTCTGGATGGCATCTGAACCTCTGGATTGATCCGGACAAGGGATGGCTGCACCCTCCGGGGAAAAAAATAAAAAATAAAAAAAATCCATTCCATTTCTTTCCTTGGATTTGGTTACAAACGTTGAGATGATCATCAGCCAGAGGATGTTTGTATTCTGTGAATCTTGATTCTCAGAGGTTTGATCCTCTGGCGGGCTCCTCCCATAACCGAAACTGGGCAACGCTCCCCGAAATTACTATCTCCGGGTAGACTGTGAGGACCCCGGCCGCTTCGATTCCGTTGGTAATTGAAATTGCAATTTAAGAAAATAATAAAATAATAATAATAAAAAAAAGAGGATGTTTGTATTGCAATGCTGCATAACTGTCATCGAATATCTTTTTTCAGTTTCCTTTTTCGGAAGTTGGAATTTACATATTTTTAACATCCTGACCCGACGACACCCAGAGGGTCTGGATGGCCATCTGGGGGTCTGGATGGTATGACCACTGTTTTGTGGAGGGGACCGCGTTGGTCACTCTGCAGAACTTCGGTGCAGGCTAGACCACTCCCCCAAATGTAATGTCCAACCCCTGGTCATTATTGCGGTATCTAGACTGAAAATTGCACCAAACACAGTTGTAATGACCTGGCGTTCTATTCGGGTGAAAATGGTAGTTTCTTTTCTTGTTGTGCCCCTTCCTTTTACTATTGAACTGCTCAGTTCGGGTTTCACCGCTGCCAAGGCAAGGTAAAATTTCCAAACCAACCACTTTTCCAAGAAACCTCCAAGCCTCCTAGCACACTTATCCACAAACTCTGGTTGGGGAAGTTAAACCCATTTGAGTTCAAAGGGTAATCAATGCTGCCAAACCCATTTAAGTTCAAAGGGGCAGTTAAACCCGCAGTTAAACCCGTTTGGGGCAGTTATACCCGTTTGAGTTGAAAGGGTAATTTCCAAGCCTCCAAACCTCCAAGCTTCCAAGCACAAACTCTGGTTGGGGCAGTTAATAAACCAGTTGAGTTCGCAGGGTAATCAATCTTGCCCTGCCCTGTAAACAGCCTGCATAAATGCATTCACGCTCAATTGGGACGCTGGACCCGCTTTCCAGCATGTGAAAGCTTCCCACCAATAGTCAGGAGCAGCTCTACTGGAAGGGGGGAGAGAGGGGGGAGGGGGCAACTATCTAAAAAATCCTGGTTACCCAGTCGGAATTTCTGGGCCGGTCAAACCAACTGCTGGTTCGAGAGCTCAAATCTCAACCAACTTAGTGCCATAAGGGCTACGGATTGTTAGAAAAACGCCATAGCTCCGCTAGCTGTTCCTTGGGTAGTAGCTCAAATGCAGACTCAATTTAGTTGCACCAGATATGTGCTAGGTTCGACACCTCCCGGTCTGTTTCGTGCGCCAGAGAAGTAGTGTAGAACGATCCCATCATAATGCCTACAAAAATCCCCAAATTCATATCAAGTGGCACTGTGGCACCAAAGCCTGTCGTTCTCAAAACCTCCAAACATGGATTTTTTTTGTTGTTTTTTTTAAGGCTTCAATTTTTATTAATTCTTTTAAACCACCACCACCTCCAAGCCTCCTTTTGTCGAGGCGGAGTACAACAACACGCCAAGCTTGGCTGAAGCGCTAGCGCGACCTTTTTTCTTTTGTTTTTGGCTGGTGCTGCCATTCATTTTTGTACGGTGGCCCCCGACCTCCGAAGAGCACGGTGTAGGTTATATTCACAATTTAGCCTTCCACTGGGAAGGGTAGTGGTGGTTTAAGCCCAACCAATTCAATCACCTGTCAAATCTGGACAGGACGGCCGTTCAGGCCTTTTTATTATCATTATTTAGTATTAAGAGGAACCCAGTAGCAGCCGCATACGTGTTCAATGAGGGAACATAGAGGAGCCGCACCCGCCAGCGGGTGCAATACCTGCGATACCAGCTAGGGGTCAGCCAGCAGCATCAGCACCCAGCTGCTTCAATGGGCCAGTCATTGCGCCTCCCCTTTGGTCCCTTCCCACTACGAACATCGCCAGTCTCTGCTCAATTTCGCTCGGGGGGACCAACGGCCTATCTCTGTATGGCCGGCGCCAAGCTTTTGCCCAGAAAGGTACATGAGGCCGATTGGGATTGAACCCAAGACCTGTTGAATGCCACTTGTGTGCCTTACCAACTGAGCTAGGATGCTGGATAGGATCGAATTCCCCCTTCTAAAATACAGGAAAACTTTCTTCTCTGGTTCTAACCCCACTGTCCATCCAAGTACAGCCTAAACTGTTAGTATTTGCAGGTTGGGCCCCACCCCACTGGCCATCCAAGACCAGTCTTATAACTTCACAACGGTGACTTTTGTCTGTGTATCTCCCTTTTGCCATAAATCCTTGGGTGGTGGGTCAATTTCATAACATAAAACAAGTGGACCCGCCGCGGCTCCGCTCGTGGCGAAAAGAGCAGAGATTGTGAGGATCGAGGAGGTAGAAATTCAGTATTTGATATGGATGGCAAAAACGAAAGATGTTTTTCCGTGTCACCTGTTGTGTCAGTTCTACCAATTGGGGCTCTCTCTCTCTCTCTCTCTCTCTCTCTCTCTCTCTCTCTCTCTCTCTCTCTCTCTCTCTCTCTCTCTCTCTCTCTCTC